TGCGCCAGTGGGCTGTGCAGCGGACGATAGCGAAGCGTCYTGATATGGCGTAGACTGCGAATAATTCTGATTGGCTGTCTCAGGARCCTGACTATTGTAGTACGAAGAACCAGTGTTGCCTTGGGTTACCTGTGTACTCTGAGTAGTTGARAGTGTATTGGCRTAATTCTGTGGATATGATCCTGGYGTAGTTATGTTTTCATCATGAAGGGTGACTGARATRTGGTATCCATTKCCCGGGTCATGAGTCGAAGGCTCCGGTTCATAATTATTTACACGTTCTGTACTACTAGTAGGATTAACATTGCTAGTTGCTTTTGTATCATATGCATTATTATAACTACTCAAAGATTGATATGAAGTCGGCTGTGGGCTTACTGCATCTCCATAAACAGATGAGGTAGCATTAGACTGTGGTGAATACTGTGTTTGTGTGCTAGCTTCCTGCTGTGGGGATTGCTGATAGGCACTGCTTTCCTGAGTGTCGTCGTTATTGTACGAAGAAGTTGAATAGTTCGACGGTACTTCGCTCTTTGTACTTGCAGTRTATTGACTATTAGGGTAACTATTATACTGTCTTGAATTATAATCGTTGTTAGTCCCATAGTACTGGTTATAACCTTGGCCATACTTTGGWACAGTTTCATAATAATCACTACCATAAGATCGTTGTATTCTTTGTATGTTATCATGATCTGCAGAGCGTTTCTCGGTATCAACATCGATGGTAAATGTTCTATCGTCTGAGAAGAAAACAAAACCAATTTAGAAGTGTATAAAAAGCTTAAAACTCTTGACTATACTAGAATCATTATATCCCTAATCCCGTGAAACAGTTTGCTAAAACAACAGTGAAAATTACTCAAAATACTTTGTCTTTTTCACGGATATCATGACTCTTTGTTTTGTTTTTTTCATGGATATCATGACTCTTTGGTTTTTTTTCACGGATATCATGGTTGCGCTCCACCATCGCCTGTAACAGCTCTGTTCTTCAATTAGTTAAAGTTCATCTTAGATCGTTATAAGGCAGACCATGGAAAATACACCAAATAAGATCATCATTTTATATTTACCTGCGTTCTGATACTGCATAGGATTGTCAAACATTACAACATTATCTCTCTTTGAGACTTTATTTTGCTTTTTAAGCAACTTCTTCTTTTCCTGAGTGGGCTCGTAACCTAATATAGAACACAAGTATGTTATGTACTAATAGGAAAAGTACAACAATTTTAAATCAAACGGAGCAAAACTAAGTTGTTCAGTAGCGATAGTCTCTTYCCGGATARCAACCCCCTTTCCCYCAAAACCCCCGTTAATAAGGGCACTTTTCGATGTCCCTTCGGTGGTCGGATTAACGAGGTT